GACACTCCCGTTTGTGATGGATGGGACCAGGGATTCAGATTGCTCAATGACTTGCAGGCATCACTTATCCTAAGCTACTCTCAACCAATCCCCAAAAAAATCAAGTTAAGAGCATTGCTACAGATGAACCTTCAAATGATACATAAATCTATAAATATGCAGTGCTGAACATACTGAAGAAATGGTAAAATAAAAAGGAGATCATCTAACTGATGTCTGCATTCACACACACACACACACACACACAAACCTAATCCTTGCTTCATCTTTACGTTTAAATTTCTTGATTCAAGCAGTGTCAGTACGTCATGCGTAGATAACTTCGCCATGTTTACATTACCTAGATAACGTCACAAACTAGTTCCATTATGATAGACATTATCAAATTTTTATTCTGTATCAATTGTTTAGGAAACAGACAAAAACAATGTTTTCAAACAAATCCAACAGTTTCTATGACTGCATGGATCCTTTCCAACGAAAGATTATGGAATCAGAGAGAAAAACTTGTTTCTTCAACAAGATGTGATTTTCCACAGAAAGACAAAAATCAATATTTATTAATGCACATTTTTGATAAAATATGATGCGCAAAAAGGCTATGGCTAAAATAGTTGTAGAATGAAAAAGCATGTCTACTGGGTCTCCACAACTGTTTGATGGGGTATGGATTTTTAGCAATACACGACGATCTTTGTGACCAGCAGGTTCTACCCGCTAAAATGTATTGATGGCATCATTGATTTTCTCTCGTTGCTATCAGGTGTTTTATTTTCACATGGCCGCCAATTGATTTCCAACCATTTCTATGCTAGCATCCAATCTCGTCCTTCAACTTAAAATCAACTCATCACACATATACACTACTTTATAATTGAATTCTGTAAGAATTGTTTCAATCAATACCATCAATATTTTTTGTTATATAAGCCAGAATTCTTTTTTTTTTCAAATTAGAATTCTATTACTTAATTTTCTTTGGAAATTAAAATTGTAAAAAAAATTGTAAAATCCAACAAATATTGTGTTTTCTTAAGGGCAAAAAAAAATCTGCTGGTTAATAATACATGACAGAATGATAGCTGCACAAAGGCCATAAATCATGGCTTAAATTATAACTTTTCCTTTCTTTGAGTCAGTATCTATATTGGGAATATATATTTTCTTGAATTTCCTTCGTGATCTCCATTTCAATCAAGAGAGTTTTCCAATCAATTTTTTTAATATGCACTACTGTAACAGCTTTGTCATGTTAAATTTGATCTATAATCATGACAAGTATATAATCAACATACATGTAACATATGACCAAAAAACATTGGACAATCCCATCTTTAGTATTAAATTTTAAGTAGTTTCAGATCCACTTATATAACTGTTGCCATGAAGTGAAAAAAAATTAAGAATAATTGAACCAGAGGATTTGAACCATTCACCAGAGGAAGGATTTGAACCATTCACCAGTATCGGCCTATCCTGACTCTGTACTTTTAACCGAAAGACTTAAATTGAAAGATGCTTAGCTGAAGAGATGATCAAGTTTTATATACTGTAAACCAACTTTTATTCGCGTGCAAGAAATATTCGCAAGTTTCGTGACCTAATTTAACTCGCGAATATTAATTGCTGCAAACCATATATTTTGCTTTGTATTTGTAGAGAATGTTTCCTCAGTCGCGAAAATTAATTGTCGTGGATTGATTTCAAACTGACGAATCAGGAATAAAAGTTGTCGTGAAAAATAGTTGGTTTACAGTAGATGCAGACACATAGGTTCCAATTGAAGATTAAGTTTATTCATCAAACTGTATCAAATTGTCCATTACACAATCATACACCTAGACTCATGTTTCTTGGTTATAGGTGCAATTCTAGTTGCTGTGTAAATCGACATGTTTTTTCAGACAACTTGAAATTTGTCTGTGGAACCATACAGTGCTTGATGAATCCAAAATATGACAAACTTGTGTTGAACCTATACATAAGCTGTACCTAAAGACCACGAGTATATCAATGTTTAAACAGAAAATAAGACAGAAAATAAATAATTTTATGTTATAAACGTGATAAATATATATATTAGCCTAAAATATGTTGGAAACATCCCAACCACACCCCCCCCCCCCAAAACCTATTAAAAATCCTGTACATATTTAGCATGAATGTGATCCCTGACTTTCTAGAGTATCATGGGATAGATTTGTTCTAAGTTGGTAACCATCAGAATTGAAACAGCTAGTTCATGTAATATCGAGTTCAATACAAACGTTCAATTCAACGTTCAATTCAACGTTCAATTCAATGTCTCGATTTTCGATTTGGTATGCTTTGTTTTTTTTTCAGGTTTGGTTAAATACATTGGGTTCGACCTAATCACATTATTTTCACAATGAAATGATGGCATTGTAAAACAACATCCTGACATTCAAACAATGAACTTAGTCTTTTTAAAACCCTACACTCTTTTTGAAACATTTGGTCACTTGCTTACATATATCACAACTATAACTAAGAAGTTTTGGTGGTGTTAATAGCACATCATTTTAATAATTTAGGTATACGTAATATGCAGGTATGGCCCACCTCAGCAAGTCTACCATACAATGCTTACCCACACGTTAATCAATAGCAATATTTCATTTGATTTTCATTTTTATTGGATGATCACCTATGTTTATTATCTTAAATGATGTGCCTGTGAATAAGTCTTTACATACTTCGACCTATTGTATGTATGGATAAAGAAATCATTGAAATTACTAATATATTGACTAGATTAGTCTTAAAATCTGCAATGTCATATTCATTAGAACCATTATACATATAAAATCATAAGTAGTTTTCTATTTTAGATAATAAGTCTATTACTTAAATTGTGTAATTTTAAAGATCATATCTTTTCTTCAACCATATATACTGTACAATGTACAGTATTGTATTGAAAATATCAAGTTGTGGTGCAAGTATTGCAATACATATTGTATTATAAAGGGGGTGTATAATTTCTCCACCCCCTCCCCATTTCCACTTTTTTTTTATTGTAAAATATGTTTGTATGACTATTATTAGATGGACCTCAAGATCAATATGTGCATGTTTCCTCTGACTGTTGTTGAGAGTTCACATATGTATTTTAAGTACCTGTCGAGTGAGTTAATGCATCACCTAAGATATATAAAAGCAAAGTATCAATAGTCTCGACTTTTTGGCCTTGGCCTTGGTTTAAGAGACAAAATCAATAGATGTCTTCTTCTAATCATTCTTTATCTGCGTAAAAAAAATGCACAGACTGTAGGTTAAAAGATATTCAAGTTATTGCATCACAATGGTCATATAAATAAGCTTGAACTTTGAACCTTGACCTCAGATAAAATGATTTAAAAACCTATAGATCTGTGTCTCCTTCTACCAGCAACTACCCTTGATCTAAATGGTAATGTCTGTAGGTTAAGAAATATCAAAATTATGAATCCCCACAAAAGTGTTATGATCATAGTACATACTGGAGCACTCGGCGTGTGTGACCGGTCGGCAGGGGATGCTCACTCCTCCATGGCACCTGATCCCACCTCTGATGTTTTGGAGGTCCGTGTTTGCTCTGCTCCTATTTTGTATTGTTTAATGGACTTTTGAGCTTGAATACTGTTCGTTATCTCCATATATTTCATATTTGTTTAGACCTTTGACTAAGTGACCCTAAAACTAGAGATGTCTCAAATACTCTATTTATATGATCTATGCAATGAATATGAAAACAGTAGTTCGAAAGGTTCTCCAGTAAAAGGTAGTAATTATGAGTGTTGATGGATAGACTGATGAACTGTAGGATCTTGATGCCACACAAATAAACCAATGTAGATATATTGTATATATAGTAAAACTTGGTCACAGCAAAGTTCTGCAGGCTTGCTTTATGTAAAATTTCATTTGGATGCTGCTTGCACCCCCCCCCCCCCCCCCCCCCCCGCCAGCATTTGAAAAAATGTATTAAAAAGTAGGGGAAACGTCACATTCCCCCTCCCCCCTAGGATTTTTATTTTTTGAGTTTGGGCAGTTTGCGTGATTTCTTTTTTTCTTTTTCATGTTTTTTGCTTTTTTCAACATTTTTTGTTGGGAGTTTGCTCCCCACCTTGAAAACAGTTGCTTCGGGCCTGTATTGCCAACATTAAAGAATCTGTCCTGACCTCTCGCAGGTCACAGAGTTTGTCAGATTGTCCTTCTCACTGTTTAATTAAAACAAATTCTACAAACAAACTATATGGTATTAAATAAACACTTTGTTTGGACTAACTTTGCTGGTAATAGTTTTCGTGACAATGAACTTTCTCCTGGAGCAGATCAAAAAAGTGGCTATATTGTGGTTTCTCAGATTAAAATAAATATTAAGCAAAGTTAACAGTCTGTATTTTTGCCATCAGACAGACAAGAACATGGACAAAACCAAGAAGGTCCAGTGGGACTACACCAGCTGCCATAATGATATTAACTGACAGACTGCCAATGGTTACTGGTTAACAAAATGTCTCTGGTTTACTCATTGATTTGCTGCTGCTGTTTTGTGTACAGGACCACAAAGCCATTGTATCAAATGTTGAATATTGCATAATTTTCTGCAGAATGGGACATATTATCACTACTTAGCTTAAGTGCTTTGCAACATTATATTCTGAGGCATGGTATCAATATATACATTAGAGCTATCAGCAAAATTCTACAAAAGGCATTCAAATTTGACACATTTACAATACGTCTAAACCTGATGCCTTGAGACATGCACACCCAGTACAAATCAATCTGCCTTGATGACTAGATGCCGTATTTCTTACCTTCACAAGAGTTACAGGTTCAAGTTTACAGGCAGAAAAATCTTATACTAAACCTGAGCCATTCATCCCAGCAACTGAGCAAGTGATATGCAGAGACCATACAAACCATGGTATAATCCAAAAAGAAATCAATTTGGAATAAATTCCCAAGAAATTAACAATTGCAAAAGGATATCTCCATTCCACAATCCTGATACACAATTTTCGTATAGGGTTTTTCAACGTTAAACAAAACAAGGCCCTAGGTGGCCTCACATTTTGGTTTTGTTGTTTTCTTGGTGGTGCTCGTTTTCGAGTCATTGTGCTGGTGTTTCCGACGTTGGCAGTTGCAGCCCCGAGCGCGGCAGCCCACGCTGAGCTAAGCGGTTTGCTGTTGGTAGAATCGGTCCTGATAGTAATCCCCCCTCCTGGCTGAGGCTTGGAGTAAATGTGTGGCCCCTGGTGAGTGTTTCCACTGGGAGAACTGAAATTCTCATTGTTTCTTCCTACAAATACAAAGATATGTAAAATCAGCTACTGTCACACATTGCAAAATCATACTTCACACATTTTAACAAATTCTTAAAATGACACCAGATAAATTAAGAGAAAAAGAGGACAAGCTTATTGTGTACTATACTTCAGGGTTCAACACTAACTTTAAAACCATAGTAGCCAGCAGGGCTAGCAATTTTTAACTCTTACTAGCTCTGTTCATGAATTAGTTGTCCAGCAGCAAAAGGCAGCTGGCAGAGTTGTGTAGCGATGATGGGGGTAGGTATGGGAGGGGGTTTCCACCTCCTGCTGGTTGGGGTATGGGCCTCCCCCAGAATTTGATACCAAATCCTGCATTTTGACGGTATTTTAGGGCAAAATTATGTCACTTTATAAATATATAAAGTAAAGACATTTTTCCTTATTGAAAGATTCCACATTTTATTCAGTAAACCACACTTTTCAAGGTTAATTATTGTTTACGTCAGTGCATTGCTTGTACTCTCCTTTTATACATGGGAGTTTCAAACACTTAGGTGATAAAGACTATTGAAAGGTTGGACCAAAACAGTGTTGGCAATAAGAAAGTTGACAGTCCAAATTAACTGACAACTATGATTCAAACATTATTCCTCAAACCTTTGGAATTTGTGCTTTTTTCATTAATCTGTACAATTGCTATAACTGAGTGTGGTACTGAAAAATTCAGTAGCCCCACAAGACAAGCTTGATGACTTGTTCAGTATACCCATGCATGCTCAGTTTCCAGTTATCCAGGGTTAGCTGGCTACTATTCGTGGCAATCCCTGTAACTTGATGTTTTATTAAAAGACATAGAATTTATATTATAAATTGGAACTCTGAATTATACTGATACTGTAATATTGTGTGACATTCAAACTTCTCAAGAGATTTTTATACATGCATGTTCATAATAGGACAGATCAAAGCTGGATGTAGTAGATATTGATAACAAAATGTGTTTATAGGAAAGATCGACATTCAATCCCTTTCTTGCCAAGGGTTACAATTTAGATGGAACAGTTCCCTCATACAATGTTAATATTACTTAAAAATCTATCATTATTTTTAAATGGATCTTATATGCAAAAACTTCTAAATCAATGAATTTTCACTCCATGAAAATTAGAAGGTGAAAAAGTAACCCAAACACAATCAATTTTGATTTTATCCAGGCAAAAGAATAGAGAGCAAGGGATATTCCTAATTTAACACATTAATTTCTCTTTGCAAGAACACAACAACCTTTGGTATATTAAACTTTCACAGGCAATGAAAGTATTGATTATCAGCAGCCCAGGAGTTCTGACATTGAGAGCTGACAGTAAATGTAGCGTCATTTTACCAGTCAGCTCTGGTCATCTAAACCAAAGTTCTAGTCAAACTATCAGTACCAACCTCACAGTCACCATAAGGAACCAGTCAGTGTTTATATCTCCATTGATCGGTCACTGCCCAGGGGCTAGCTTTTTTGGATCTCCACACAGTAATACCTGTTAGTTAAGTGCAGGTGACGGATTAAAGCTTAACAATGGCCGACAATGCCTCCTATATAACAGGCCCAATATCTATACCAGATACATCAATATACGGAAGCCCTTACAGCTGAATTTCACTCAGCACCCATGTATAGACTTATAGTGTAAATAAATTGAAAAAATATGTTAAAATCAATACTGCTTTGGAATGTCTTCACATAGACAGTAGCAGCATGAGATATTTAGGCTGTCTGACTGCTGAACACAATGACTGATAGGTGCTTTCCAGCAGCAAGTACAGACTGACTTTTGTTGGCAGGCAGTACCTCAGGGAATCCACTATTGATCACACTCTAAACAATGGTGACCTATTAAATTTCTTTGCAAGCCAGTTGATTGAATATTGGGCTACAAAGTAACTTTATAATCTAGTAGATATTGAGTGATTACTTAACATGTGCTGTTTATTGATCAAGGAAAATAATGAAGGGAGACAATGCAAGGTTTTCAAAGGGAAAATACATCCTAAGGACCATGACAGAAAAAAAAAATGTTTACAGTGATGTAATTTATTAAATTTTTATGAATTATTTCATCTTAAAGAGACTTCTTACACATGTACTTGCAAATATTTAGTGAAACTATTTAAGTCTCCATATAAGGATTGTCTATATAAGCAAAATATATCATCATATATTACTAAGTACATTTAAAAATTATATCACTTGCTTTTCTGTAATCATCAGCATAATATTAATTACAATGCATCAAATGCATGGTAAAGCCAAACGTTCAGCATTGATTACATGTACATATTATAATCATCTACAGTAAAACATTGACCTTTATATTGTGGTAGCTAAAAATTAAAAAATTGACAAATCTCTTACTGACTTTTGATCTTCATAATCAACAAGTTACTATGAAGCTTTTAGGGGTGAAACAATATGCCTCCTTCACAATATCGTATAATTTTGTCACAGTATGATTATTTTTGATTATGATACAATGCATTTTGATAGAAGGAAACAAATTCAAAGTTGTTTTATATTTCATTTCACTAAAACCAGTAACTTTATCTACTTGCAAATTGACAAGATGTCTGCATGTTAATGATTATTCTACAAACTATTATTCTTCAAAAATCACATTTTTAAAATTTAATCATGCTGTGTAGCGTATTTTTATGATTGTCAAGAGTGACTGAATAAAGATCCCGAACAAACTGAAAATGGAAATTTTGTACCGAGTATCAAACAGACAAAAAATATTACAGCAAATCGATACCACAGTGAACTGTTTTACTCCTAATAGCTGTAAAGCAAATATGATCCTCAAGGGTCACTAACTGTACATTTTGAATTGAATTACAGATTTGACTATGAAAATTTCATTCTGAAATCAAATTTTAAACCATTTCTGTCGTATATTGGATGCAAATAGACTTACTCTCTTGATATAATGGCTATAGTTACGACATTAACATAAATGACCTCTGAAGTCTGATCTTTTGACAAGAATTGGGTTTATTCATTGGTCTCTTTATTTAGATCTACTTAGCAAGTGCAACTGATGAGTAAAATAATTTTTTTTATGTGTCACATAATCCATGTCAAAAACTTATTATTGACCTTGACCTTGATGACTAACATATGACCCAAAATGAAAAAAAAATTCTTTTGACTTCTGTGCAGCAAGGTAAAATTGAAAGATCAAATGATCTTTTTATATGACTATAACATCCAAAGACTAGCTTGTACAAACAATAATGTTACTGAGAATGTTGTTCTACAAAGGAATTACTGCCCAATAAAATCTGAGGACTGCTTTATAGAATTATACCTATTTTTATGCCACATTAGGGTAACTGGACTTCTGCAGCAATATACTGATAAATTAATTATGGATCAATATATCTGCAGTTCAAATAGTAATTTTTCTGGCATCTACTCCATCAATTATGCAGTAAAGTAAGAGTGTTCTCATAAAGATCTCCACTAATTCATTCACTGGGGCAATGAGTTTACTGGAGGCTGGAAAAATAGTTCCCTCACAAGGTATCTGCAGTCTCAGATTCTTGGAACACAATGATATCCATCTTTCACAATGTAGCAGTTTGCTGTACATTTAACTTTCAGTTGTATTATATAAAGTTTGTATCATTAATTTCCTATATTTCTCTTCTATGACTCCCTGACAGCTGGAGCCAGTGATAATTTTTTTTGGGGGGTACAATTAATTTCCTACCATATAGTGATAGTTTTCTACCCAAATTGTCATGCTTCCTATACATAAGAAACTTTTCAAATCTTACGCGAGATGTCAGAGAGAGATATCAATTTCCATCTTGAAGTGTAATCGAGAGCTGCAACAAAACATGCTAGACTTGTGTTGAAACAGTTTATAATGCAGATCAACTTAAAAACATGTTTTGCTATCTAACCACGCAAAAAATTAAAATCAACATTTTAAAGTGTATACATGTATAATCATTTAATGTGCATCTATAATTTATGGGGGGGGGGGGGTGTCTCATGTTAAAAAAAGGTGAATTGTAAATACCACGGCACATTTTTTGTTAAATTCTGTTATAACTTGATTTTTGGAAAGCCAAAGGCATGAGTTAAGCTGCTGACTCAGTGAGCTACAGAGAGGAGAAAAAGAGCCCACTAGTTAATATTCATGAGGATTCACAAAACACAATGTCTAACTTTAAGTTTTTTTTTTGTTCTTTCCTCCATCATTTACACCACAGAAACCGAAGAACATTTGAGGAATTCCGTTCAGATCTTTCCTCACATTTTACTACAGATCTAAAGACCACTGAGAGAGACTGGAATATAGATTAAAAAATATAATATAAAAACATATTAAAACATATAAATACTTTCTTCCTTTAAGATTGGAAGATAATGAGGGATGTTAAATTCATATTACTTGCTTTCCTAAGTATGACCATCTATTTGTTAAGCTAATTGTTTTTTCAGGGGTGGTTGAAGGGTATCTTGAGTATATTCATTTACCTACTGTAAATCATTTGAATATTATATGAACTCACAACCATTGGGAAGGGCTTGTGCCATGTGCCATAGTTGCATTGAAGTGAAAAATGGCACATTAAATCAACCATTGGGGGTGCCAAGGTGCACATTCAATTTTTAGCTATGTTTGTAAGAAACATTTTACATACGACTTTCTTAATCATTTTACTTTTTTTTCTAAATGCAGTCATTTTAATACGACGAATCTCAATGGTCAAAACCCTGTTAAAAACTGCTTCCTGTTATATGAAGCACTTAATAGGACTACGAAGGTTCATTACCTCACTCATTTACAATGCTCAATCCAAATTTTGACGTTACTGATCCAAAAATATATGAGTAAAGCATATTGTACGTACTATATGTGAAAAATGAGATTTTAGTTTATAATAAAAAATGTGCTTTCTTGCATATTTCATATTGTAACAGAGACATTTATGTGCCTCTGCTGGGGATTGAACCCAGGGCTTC